TATATTTTTATGTTATTGACAAATGAATTTGAAAAGAAAAATCAATAGAATAGTTGGTTCAAATTTATCGTGAGCTTGAGTATGAACATAAAAAAATACGTCCTTATTCAGTGCAAGCTGAGTTTTGCTCATTCAATTTGTTGTTTGACCACGTGATTTCATCTCTTTGCTGACTTCTTTGAAACACAAGTACATTTACTACACTATTTGATTAATCCGACTATCGGGGTACTTTGAAACTTGAAAAATTTCAGTTTTTCAACCAGAAAAAAAAAAAAAAAAACATTAAATCACACAATACCCATTTTCCAATAAATAACTTATTCACGATATCTTACATGCGCCACAAAAGCATAATACTTGACCCTAATGTAATAATTGAAAAACGATCCGAAACAAAAAACTCACCAATTACCTCAAGACCTCATCCGAAAACAATAACACACGAGTTCCCCGAAACTCATTTGCACAGCGTCGTCAGCTAGATAGCGTAAATTCCACCAAAGTAAGGGAGTGAAAAAAAAAAAAAAAAAAAAAAAAAAAAAAAAAACTCCCGGCAGCAGTCGCGAGGGGAGAGCAACCTGCACAGCGTCCTCCCCGTCCTTTTCTGTATTAGGGCTGTACAAGCTCGTGTAATGCAAAAACACGCGTACAGTGTACACCCGAACTTATGCTCGGGACCTTGAGCGCGTGGGCGCGCCTCCGCGCACATACCAAGAAACTCAACTGGCAGGGGTTGGTAAAAATGCGCAGCATGAAAATACCGCGTAGCCGAGATATCCAGTAAACAAGAAAAATCACCTCGCACAGTCAACCTTCGACCCGAAGGTCCCAACGCAACGCGTACATGTGAGACAGAGAGGGTGGATAGCCGCTGCTGCTGCTGCTACTACCAGAGGAGAGGGTTGCTAGCCGGGCGTACGCGCACACGGAGGAGAAGATACGGAGAAGCTGCCGCTACGTGTACGGCGAGCGGCGCGTTACTAGCACCGCATCCATCCAGCATCCGGCCCGTGGAGAGGAGCACCTTTCTCTCCCCTTGCGCGCGACTACTATACGACGGTGGCTACCCCCCCTTAGTTGGTGGCTTTGCTTTCTCTCTCTCTCTCTCTCTGTCGTTATCGGGGTGGGTCGAGGGAGAGAGAAAAGCCCGTCTCTCGCGAGGGGGATGAAGGAAGCTGCCAGCAGGTCCACGTGCGGGGGCTCCGTGTTGCGCTCCTCTCTTTTCGGCGTATTGATCGAAGCCGCGCACACTCTCGGTGCTACTACTGGCAACCCCTCCGCGCACATCTCTTTCGCTCTCGAGCTGCGTTCATAATCGCTCACGAGATGCTGCTTATGTATATGTATACCTACCGGCTTGCGTGGGACGAACGCGGTATATGCTGGTGTGGGTTCCGTGTGTGCGAGCTTTTACTTCCTCGATGGTATTACCGGGTGCTATGAAGTTTTTTCATCCCATTTCCGAGAGGGGGCTGTTTTCTCGTACTTAGAGATGTGTAACCATGACTTACATATATGAACAAATAGATTTGGAATTTTTTGCCTCGAGTCTCGATAGCGATTTGGAATACACCACGTGTGACAGTGGAGAGAATACACGTTCTGACCAACCGTGTGTTACCTTTGTATGATGCGTATATAGAACTTTATTCAACAGTTCTGGCAGCCTCCGAAATAACCCGCATATTGTCCTCCGCTGTGTGTTCCTGAAAAAGGGAGTTTNTCTGCCTCGCATCTCGTTCCTTTTCTCTCTCTCTCTCACATTTGTCTCCTCTCCTCTTCGACGTTGTATAAATATAGATTAAGCGCCTAATATACTAAATAGTATCTATATTTGTCTTTGGGAGGCGTTCACGCGCAATCCCGCGACTCGGGTTTTTCTTCAACATGCATACGTATGTATATAATTCATGCGACTTTACTTTGCTCCTTTGTGCTTCGTTGTGTGCAAAGATACACCATCTGACTCTCGCTCTGATATTCGTGTTAAGGAAAGTAAGTATAAAATAGAGTCGGAGAGATCAGATAAGGCACGAGAGAAATATATTTTATACTGCATGCTACGTGTATAAGACTATATACGAGATTGGTCTCCCGAGTCGCGATAGTGAACTTGTTATTTTTTTTTTTTTTTTTTTTTTTATGAATTAGAATGTTTGCTTGTAACAAAGCATTCATACGTGGTTTCGTGATTTCGTTGATCAAGACCTTTACAATGATTTTAAAATATTTGTATTATCATTAAGTCATTTAAACTAGAGTAAAATGTGACGTAGCGTTTCGTTTTATTGGTGACAAGTTAGTTTTATCTTCTGGCACACGATTTTCAGCGTAGGTCCTGAAAAAACATTCGCGTCTTAGCTCCTGCGTAGATACGAAAATCCCGTAAACTGAAGGACGTGAGAGCTCGGGCTTTCCTTTTTTGGCAGCAATCCAGATGAGAAAAAAAAATAATAACAATAAATAACCACTGTCCCATATAAAACGCAAGTGTTCTTATATACCGATGATCACCGAGCCAGAGAAGCCCGAGAAACTATAGAGTATTACAGAGAACCGAATGCCCGATTGAATTTTCATTGGGTGCACCAGCCGCAGACCCGGCTTGCCGAGGCTTGACATAATCCAGCGGATCTTACAGGATTTGGCTTTGCTCTTTGTGTTCTCTCGTCGTTTCGCTGCTTTTCACTGCCTACTTTTTTTTTGTTTTACTTATTCTTTTTAGAAATTTTCGATAAGGTGCTATGGCGAATAAAATGTGACGCGAGACTGATTGAGTTGGCAAGTGTAAGGGTGAAGGTATAATAATAAATTTGAAAAGCATTTGTGAGACACTAATATTAACAAAAGTAGCATAATTTAGAATTGTTGAATTAGCATCTAAAAATTAGTAATAAAAAAATAGGGGCACAAAATACAAAAACTACTTTCATACAATATACTTAAAATAAACTTATTAATACAAATTTTTTTATAATATTAAACTACTTTTTCGTTATTGTTACGTATTGCGCTTAAATTGGAAGGTTTTTAAAAATAGATTATTAAAAAATAGTAATAGTTTGTTAAGGTGATCTTTTGAAGTAATATTATTTAATTGAAATCATACTTTCCATCTCACTTAAGTGTTAAGTATATCAACAAACAATAAATGAAAAATTTTCATATGACAGTAACTGTTGAAGCTTTATTCAACTTTATTGATTTATTCGTGCATGTGCATAGAAGGTAAATTATGAATAAACTATTTTACCGATAACCTGAGGTGTAGTAACTGATTTTACCCTTTATAAATTGATCTGTTGCATCAACAGTTGATAAAATAGAAAACTTACGTACGTAAAATTTGTTTACTAACAAAAAATAAACAAACTCGTGCAACGTGGGCGATACATACACGAAATGTATTATAACATGCATTTTTTATAAAAAAAAGTTAGTTTCAAGTGCCCTAGAATATCTAATCACCGGACTCCGGACAAATTTATTGAGTGTTATAAATTATTTATTTACTAAGGTTAATAAATAGTAAAAATATCTTTGATCGTATAAAATGTTTATTAACAAAGAATTTGTAGTCATATCTAAAGTATAGGTGTATAGATAGCATATAGTTGATCCATTTCTAAAATAATTGTTATCAAAGAAAATAAATAAGATAAAAAAATAGTAAATAAAAACAAATTTTTTAGGTAATGAAGTACAAAAAATTTATTGTTTTTATTCTGTACAAACTACAATACTTACAAAAAAAGTATAATTCATACATTGTTTTCAAAAATAAATTTAAACATTCGCTGTTAACTGATAAAAAATAATTGTTAAATAGTTACAGTAAAAGTAACTAATGATATTTGCGTTCTTAAAAATTTGATAAAAATATAAAAAATATTAAAAATTATAAGGTATAATTGTCTAATTTCCAACATGTGCACTTGAAATTCTATAGAGCAGATTAAAACGCTGAGCATGCTATTTTCGATTTGAAAATTTATCTACGCTTTAGGTGTAGCTTCAACAACTATTTTTCTTACTTATTCGCTATTGCTAAATTTTAGTTTTTAACGTCACGTAAAAAATAACTTTAATACTGAATATNGTTTGATTAACGACAAAAAAAATAATATTATAATGTACATAAATATAAATATGTACGCCTAAAATGTATACACGCACTGAAAAAAATCTAGTTTGGACCCTGTATAACCGTTAGCGGCACCAAAATGATATAGCAGTCAGAGTTTTGGGCACTAACGTCGCGCTGGATCAGTGCAGGTCGCAAAAAGAGTTACACTGGATTGGTGCGCCCTGTGCTTTGTGGAGTTCGACTCATGCCTCGGTGCACTCGCTGTGCCGATTTGGCATGATCTATTCGTCCAATAAACTGGTGCACCAACTGCACACACACGCACTACATACACACAGCATCTCTTGCATTGCTCATCACAATGAAGATATACCTGATTTTGTTCAGTGCGTGTACGTGTCTACATATCGATACTTGCAGACAATTTATTAATTGATACATTTACACGTAAATATGTTTAAAGATGTAAACATTTCGAAGCTAAAATATTTTTTTCAAAATAGTAATAATTTAAGTAAAATACGTTAAATTATTTGTTTCATTTCTAAGGAACCTTAATTTTTTTTAAAGAGTAAATTATTTTTGAAACCATTAGACATTGGCAAAATATAATCAACAAAAATTTTCACTTAAAACCTACAATGAAGGTGATAATTTTTATTGATATGTTGTTAAACATTTTTCTAATAAAATCGTCATCGATTTGTTCATCTCATCACGTAATCTCATGGTAGTTGACGATTGTTAATAATTTTAGAAATTTCAGCATACATATCATGTATATTCACCTACAGACAAATATTATAATTTTTTAGTTTAATTGTTAACTTTTCCGGTTTTCCGACGTACTCGAAGATACTTACAGAAGCACAATCCTGGTTCGATCTTTTAACCTTAAGTTATGGCGTACGTTTTTTTTTTAAATAAACTTTTCCACGCAGGGTTGATCGTATGGATGGTATTTGTCTTCCTGCATCGTAGTCTCTATCACCTGGACTTTCGCTTTTATATCTTGACAGTGTGTTTTTCACTATATCCAGGATTGAATTTAAGTCTTCAGTTTCACCGTATAAATCTAGAGTTTTACTTAATGTTGGAATAAACCATTGTTGGAATGATACATAACCTAAAATACGACATAGTTATGTTCTACATGAATATTCTTACAAGTAAAGATGTAATATGATTTTACCTGGAGCTGTACTGTTAGCTATAAAAAAATCTGCCGTTTGAGGGATTTTATCTTGAGACACAACGCGATCAACCTTATCTTGTGCTCGAACATTTACACCCTTGTCAACCAACTCTCCTCTACAAGCCTGAAAAATTTATACACCAATTAATTAGAAAAATTCTGCCAAAAACACAAGTTTCAACTTGCTTTATTGATTAATGAAATTATAGTTTTAGCGTTTTATACACCATACCAAGCACATGCTCTACAGTACCGGCTTAAAGTATCTTTTTGAAGATTCCTATTTTAAACCGTAAAAAGAATTAAAATTTTCTTTTAAAATTCGATTTAAGTAATAGGTAGAGATGAATGAAATAGTATCTAAGAGAAACTCGCAAATTAACAAATGCCTTATTTCGGAAGTAAAAAATTATAGGATGAATTCTAAGAGCCTTCATATTGTCTCTCTTCGAATTGTAACTTTCTCGATATAGGGACTGTTTTCACGTTTATTTAAAAAAAAAAAGCTATACCTAACAGAAAAATTCATTCGGAATTTTTTGACACAACACAAAGTGGCAAGTTGGTAACGGCAGAACATATATATATTCAGTTATTAAAATTTTATTGAAAAATTACGGGTTAATTGTGGCTAAAATACTATTTTTAAAATAAAGTAGCTATAGTTTTTTCCAACTATAATGAATAATTGTCAACAAACAAGTGAGCATTACATAAACGAAAAGTAGCGAAATATAAGATTTTCAAAAATGGGTGGATAAGTCATTGTATTAAATAATTTTTTTAGATTTGTATAAGAGTCTAACCTGGATAAATATAAGTTTCGGTTTATTCAATAATGTTTGAACTTTAGAGAAATGTTTCTCAAAATAGCTTATGTTGTAATTTTCATCCTTTGCATAAATAAATCCTCTTTCGCTACCATGTGATAATATAAAGAAGCAAATGCAATCATCGTTAGAGTAATTCTTTCGTTTTACTGAAACAAAAACAAGAATAAAATAAACACATTTCAATACCAGAGAGATTTAAGTAACTTACATTTTTTTACGGTACTCTTTATTTCTTCAACAGTGTAATTTCTACATGTAGTTACGTTAAACCCTTTTGACACCATAGTTGTTGTTATCGTTTTTATCTCATCTTCAACACATTTACGTTCCTTCAGTTCTTTGTTATCAAAAAACTGATGAGCAAATATGATGCACTCTCCTTGATTAACGTGATCCATATTATATTTGAATGAATAATTTTTAAGGTTATCAATTGTAGTAGAACTTTAAATCACAAAAATAAACAAACAAATTATTATTTAGTCTGAGTATACTAAATAGTTTAGAAAATATCATGTTACCTTTCTGTTTGTGGCCTATTATCTTGAATATTGGATGCTTCGGCAGTATTCTCATGTTCTTTTTCAAAAATAGCTGGAGGCTGCAAAATATTAATTCCAGAATCAATTTTTACAAATATAATTTTATACATAATGTGCACAGAACTCAATGAATGTGTATCACAATGATATATACAAGTATATTTATTGATGAAACGAGCTCAAAAAAAACAAAAAAACAAACATTATCATAGAATTAAATTTACTTACAAGTTAAATCTGAATAATACGACTTGGAACCTCATTGAATTCGTATTGAGAGAAAAATATTACTTATGCGAACACGTTTTTGGAAGTTGTTAAGGTTAAAAATTCCCTAGTTTTTAAATGCACAATAAAACATACACGTTGATTTATTAGTTTGGAAGAAAAAAAATTTCGCCAATATGGCACAGTGGTTCGAAAACATGAAAAAAAAAAAAAAAAAAAAAAAAAAAAAAGATAAAAGTTATGCTTTTATTTGATTGTACTTTGTTCTTTCATTCATAAAGATTTTTTTATGTAAAATTCAAAGATGTAAATCTCACGAAAAAATTTTTTATGATGTTTACAGTTTGATTAACGACAAAAAAAATAATATTATAATGTACATAAATATAAATATGTACGCCTAAAATGTATACACGCACTGAAAAAAATCTAGTTTGGACCCTGTATAACCGTTAGCGGCACCAAAATGATATAGCAGTCAGAGTTTTGGGCACTAACGTCGCGCTGGATCAGTGCAGGTCGCAAAAAGAGTTACACTGGATTGGTGCGCCCTGTGCTTTGTGGAGTTCGACTCATGCCTCGGTGCACTCGCTGTGCCGATTTGGCATGATCTATTCGTCCAATAAACTGGTGCACCAACTGCACACACACGCACTACATACACACAGCATCTCTTGCATTGCTCATCACAATGAAGATATACCTGATTTTGTTCAGTGCGTGTACGTGTCTACATATCGATACTTGCAGACAATTTATTAATTGATACATTTACACGTAAATATGTTTAAAGATGTAAACATTTCGAAGCTAAAATATTTTTTTCAAAATAGTAATAATTTAAGTAAAATACGTTAAATTATTTGTTTCATTTCTAAGGAACCTTAAATTGTTAAAAAAAAAGAATAAAATAAAATTAAGTTAAAGACAAAACTTCAATCTATATTATTTTCATGTCTTCAATGATATCTTGGACCACTGTGCACCTGGCTTCCCTTACCGCCATTTTGAATTGTCTTTCTCAGCACAGTAACTCGTATACTCGACTGTGTAGTACAAAATGGAGTAGACTAATATAAATCTCGTAAATATCAAAATATATTAAATAGAAGCAGTAATCGCGAAGAAGACTTTACTTGTGGCGGTCAGAGATTAATCCAGTAATGAAAAAACATTTTAATTTTAATATGAACTTAACTGAAACTTTTGAGACTGAGTAGAAGTTTAAGGTTTGATAAGTCAATTTTTTCAAATCGAAACAAGAAAATGTATTTTTAATAGGAAGTAAACTTAGTCAGTTCACGTTAAAGAAAAAAAAAAAAAAAAAAAAAAAAAAATCAAACCTTAGAGCTCTTCATCTCAACGCCTCTTCAAGGTCTCAAAACTTTTGGTGAATTAAAAAGCTTGGACCCAAGTTTCAGCCAATTTTGTATTTTGAGCATCCCACAAAAAATTTAATTATTTTTTTACATCGCACAAACATTTTAAACTTCGATAGAATAAATGTATATCACGTAACATCGAAATAGTTAGAAGAAAAGTTTTTGAATCCGGCATTTTGTGGGATAGCACAAGCTATAAGAATTTATGGAAAAAAAATCAGCAGAGTACCTGTACTAGAAATTATTAGAGTTGTACCATATTCACTTTTAACGACCCCTTTCATCGATGCGCGCTCTAGTCTTCTTAAACTCCCTTTATCTTGGACTCATTCACTTTCTAAATCACGGGTTTAAAGAAACAACAAAAATACAAACAAAAATGAAACAAATTTCTGAAAAAAATCAACCAATGTCGTTGCACAGAGACCATTTTTTTTTAAAAAAGGACAATCATCCCCATTGCCATAACCGTATATTATATAGGTATACGAAAGAAATATCGTACTAATGATTCCCTGTGCTCTGGTACGTAGACGGGCGAGTAAGAGACATTGTCGGTGACTCGTCTTATCATCAGAATATCCTCTGTATTTTCATCAATAAGCTTCTTCATCCGCTTCATTTGGCACCGAGTTTTTTCCATGATGTGCTCCAGTCTGTCAAGACGCTCGTTAACCGACGAATTGGATGGTGAGGAGGACGGCGGTGGTGGTTGCCCCGATACTCCTATCGCCTGCTCTAATGCTAATAATCTCTCCTCGTCGGGGCGCATTAAGCAGCAGCAGCAGCAGCGCATCAGAGTTGCTCCGGCGCCAAGATAGTCCAGGACATTCCACAGACGATCCATACTACTAGCAGGTATTACCGATCTCGCGTCTCTGCGCTCCGAAACTAAAATTTCGTACTTACGTTTATTACTCGGCGAGACTGTGAATTGTTGAGAAAAGATCCCCGTTGCACACGGCTTGCACTAATTACGATTTAAGGAGACCGCGTCCGGTCCACCCGACCGCTCGACTACGACTGGAATCCCTTTGCCCGGCTCACGATTTTAAAAGGTACGTCCGTATCGCTTGACCGCTCGAGAGCAAATGAACACTGAACTCACTCCGCAATCATCCAGCAAGACTACACGATTTAAGGACACGTCCGACCCGACCGACTGCCCGAGAGCAACTAAACGATTTTTTCTACTGGTAAGTACGCCTTGCAGCGATGCACCTTGCACCACCGCGACGATTTAAACCCTCGTCTGTCCCGTTTGGTTGCACGACTGAAACTAATCGTGTTCAGACACGAAATACGAATAGCGGGGGTGTAGAGGGAGAGAGACGAAGATATATGTGAAAGTGCTCGGTTGAGAGAGGGAGTGGGGACCGCACTGCTCGCTGATCATCTTCATCCTCTCTTTCTCCATCTCACATTCTTCTTTTACGTGTATGTGAATATTCCAGAAACCCCACAGCCACTCGCATAATATTTAGTGATGCTTGGTTGTACAAAAAAATGATGCAGCAGCTCATGGGCGCGGGAGCAATCGTCGCGGGGAAAAAAGATTTTCGCGCCTGTAGCGAAAGGATACGGGCGCGCGTGTCCACGTCGAGAGAGAGCCCCAGACGCGCGCCCAGGCAATGCCGCTATTTTCTTTTCCTCCTTCCTTTTCAACTCTTCTTCGCTCGGCAACAAGTCGCTCTGCGTGATGACTCATGCTGTCGCTTGCGTATATGGACCAGTTCGCGAAAACTCCTTCGAAAATCATTTCACATGGTCAAAAAATCGGTATTTTTTTTCATGATTTTTCGATGAAACAAAAACGAAAAAATTTCCTGCTTCGGCAAATGCTTTTGTTGGATCAATTTTTTATTTATTTTTTTTTTTTATGACTACATGTCGTTAATTTTTTTTTTACTCGAAATTCAAACGTATCTTATAATATATTTACCATAGCTAGTATCATTAGAGTTATTCTCAGCCATTACCGTCTCAGGCATTACCAAAATTCTGATTAGTATGTATGAATAGGGGAGGGGGTAAATAATAAAAAAATATGTAGTAAACTCACAACTTGGGGATACAAAATTTTCTGTTGGGGCTGTAAAATGACAATTTAATTAATATTACGATAATGGCCAATGAATTTGAACGAAATTGTCATTTTTTTAAAGAAATGCATTCAAATTAACACAAGTTTTCAAAAATGGAGTCAATAGAGCTGTACTTAAAAGTATCAAGTTTGTTCATTTGGACTCCACGTAACTTGGAAAAATATAATAAAAAATTCTCAACATCCCAAATCTTGAAAAACTTCACTTCACGTTTTTTAATACTGCATTTTTCGTAGAATGGTTCATATACATGGATATTCAATGTAGCGGTGTTATAGAGGTAAATGTATAGAAAAAAAAGAGGAGAAAGCCAAGTTGTACGTACAGCGTTGTCGAAGTTTTAAAAAGGGAATCTGAGCTGTTTAGGCGTGTTTTGGTCCATCTCATACCGATTACGTATGTTATGTAAGTAGGAATGAGCGTCCGGTACAACAGGTTACTTCGTAGTGATGCTAAAGAGGAAAAATGATGTTAGGATAATTTTAGGAAAAATAAGGCGTAGTAATAAAAAAAAAAAAACTGTTGAGAGTTTAAGATACGTGACTTGGTTTTTCAATTAAAAAAAATTTTTTTTTTTAATTTTTTTTTTCATGACGACATACCAGAAATCTTACACCACAGCTGTGCGTCTGCATTTTAATACTTTCTGTTTACTACAATTAAGTACTTTTATTAACATTATTTTTCAACGATAAAATATTACGCAAAGTTGATGCATCGCTCAATCACAATTATTTTAACATTAAAAGTATAACCTGATAAATAAAACGTTTTATAATGAGTTGATGGTCATTGTATTTCGACTGAAAACTTGCAAAAGTAAGATTATATGTTTTGCAGAGCTCATATTTCTCAGTATGTAAGGCGATATTTTAGCCTTTAGAAGTTTGAAGGTTGTCGAGATAAGAGGGAATACTGATATAAATTTAACTGCTGTTTGAAGGAATTTTAAGGAAGTAGGATGGTGATAAACTTCTCTCATACAATTGACTATGTCAGCCTTAACATAGAAATAAAGATAGAAGGACAGTGAGAAGTATACTTTTTCTAAATCTGCACTTCAAAAGAGTTGAGATATTTGCATCCCTTGCTACAGTTAATGTAGTACGTTCTATAGTTTGGCATGCTGCCTGTCTTTCTCACACTCGTGTAAAATCATAACCTATGAAAAAATATAGCAATGTCTAGGCTTATAAATTTTCTCTCACAGATAGCCTTGATTGAAAAAAATTAAATAATATGATATCTGCAGATATTTTTATACTACACATAAAAATATTGTCAACATTTTTTCATCATTTAAGAATAGAAGAACAATATGAAAGTATAAAAATCAATCAAAATTAATATTTTGCTCCTTAAAAACCCTAGCCTTACAAAAATTATTCAAGATCCTCATTACACATTAATTTACCTGTGTGCCAAGTTACGTAAAGACAACATTATGATTTCAATCTGGAATATTACTGCTAAGCGTTTCAGTAGCATACATTCGAATAAAATTTTATTTAAGATTCATTAATAAATGCCTCTTACTGAACAAGAATTGGTATATTATTACTTGGAAAAGAGCGTTAATATTGAGGTACGAATCGCAAATCATATTTACACGTTTTGTACATACTGCAATTATAATCATACAAAGATATTTGAGAGAGACGAGATTAAAATAAAAAAAAACCCTCGTAGAGATATTTCAGTATAATAGATTATCGATGCATCATCCTTTAATCAGTACATTCAATATACGAGTCGTATATTAATGTGCATGCATTTGATGCACTACGTATACACAATACCTCTATACTTTTGTCGCTGGCTTGTTACCGATCCCGAGTTTTTACCCAAATGCGACGTTGCCATAATGACACAGTCTTGTTTTCTTCTATTTCTCGTCCGTATGCTTACTTTTTATACAAGTGTTTGTATTCAAGCATCGGCGCTCGACTGGCCGACAACACCATCGACGATGACCTAAATATAAAATATCCGGTCGCAACTATACGGCATGCGTTATATATTTATTGTTTTGAATTACGAAAAGCATTTCATCGTGAAGGTGATACTCGATGATAATTTTTATGCAATTATTGGTTGATTGATTTTTATGCAAAAATTATGATGTAAAAGTTAAAATATGAATGATTTCGTGGAATAACTTTTTTTGTGTATAGCAGAGTAACATTTACAGAAAAAATGTTGTCAAAAAAATTTTATATCCTTCGAGATCTACGGGAATACTGACTTTGATACTCTGTCCCAAAATATTTGATAAAAAAAGGTTTATCGTATTATGATAAGTCTCCAAATCTTAATAAGTGAATACTTACTGATTTGGTAGATTACAACATTTCACCCCCATGTCAGTAAATACATAAAACATATTGGATGTTGCTTATTGTTATCTCAAACATTTAATCTCGAATTTTGTTTGCCGACTAGATTTAACTTGTCAGAATTATACGCATTTTTTTCTATGTAGAGTCAACGTGCATTCATATTGTAATCTACGAGCATAATGTGAAAATGCAAATACTTAAAGAACACTCGTACAGACATCATTCGTTAAATTGAGCAAGCGAATCTTTTAAAGAAAAAATATTAATTAATGCTTATGTTGTGTTATTTGTCGAGATGGTTTTTAAGAGAAAATAATCGAGGTGTAGCTTTGTTATACATTTGTGGATTCAAGTGTTGAGGTTGTTTTGGAGGCTCGTTCTTGCACACATCTGATTCGCATTTGATTCTAGTTTTTTTTTTTTTTCTCTTAAGAATAAGGGTGGCGTCGTCTCTGCTTGATATTTACCAATAGTGAGCATGCGCGCCATGCTCTTATATTATACTCAACAAGTAACAAAATGGAGTTCGCTCAGCTTCTATTTTTTTGTATGTAAAATTATATTGGGTAACGCATCAATGTTTTAAATAATGTAAAAAACGTAATCATTGAAATATCGGTTTTGATGAATTATACACATTGTATTTGGAACACTCGCTAGACCCTCATTTGTCTTATCTCATTGTAATCATTAGAAATCACTAGTTATTAATTTTTTTTAATTTTATTTCTTTGAATCTGTAATGCAGCAACTTGATAAATTATATCATACTATTCACGCCGAAAAAGTTGTTAAATACTTGCAGTAACACTTTTTTTCATTTTTACGCTTGAAAATTTCTGATGCTATACAATGGTAATAGAGATGATCCGAGTAATTACTGATTTTCGTGCGAACCAATGGCGAAAGGATGTCTTTCTTTTGTACCAATCTTCGTTTTAAGCTGGAAGAAATTTTCTCAAGCGTAGTACTTTCTTTATTTTCGATGGACGTTACAGAATTCTCTGGTAAATTGACTTCTACCAATGTAATCCTATTGGAACAGCCAACCTTTCCCTGGTAAAAAATATGTTGTTTTTTTTTCAAATATTTATTATTACGAGTGCGAGGTTAGAAACGAGCAAATAGTTTTCTTTTGTTGAAGTTTTCGCATCCCACTGATCCATTCGATAACTTAATAGTTTTCCTAAGCAATCGTGGGAGCCTGCGATTAGCATTACTATTAAGAGAATCTAAAAAGTGTAAACCACACTGTGACATTGTCAACATGGGAGTGAACGATGCACGTTTTATAACAAATAGTTACACGAATACTGTGGATGTACCAATTCCGATCTTGGATTATCGGGTATTTGGACGATACAGCTTGTCGTGGATTTCTCACTCATGTCTTTGACCGAATTTGTCGTAGTGCTTGTAGTATTTGAGGGCCTCGGCTCGGGGTTTTCACGACAGCAAGCACTTTCTGAAAAATTATCTTCGGAATCTGCGTCCGAACCAAGGAATTCAATTATTCGGTTTTTCACGTCGATCTTACTTATTCCTCTTATTTCGGACATGTCATTGAAATCACGTTCGCATTGTCTGAATATTAAATACACGCATTGTGATGATTGGCATTATTAATGATTACATATGGCACCACAAAACTGTATGGTATAAAATTGTAATTCACCCATAACAGACATTGACCCTCTTTTGATGTTTTGAAGTATGAGTCTTGTGAGAGCAATCAACTTTGTCGGCAAAGTTGCGGCTATGTTTATTTCCAGACAGTTTGCACTTAATATTTTCAAACATGTTTTTTAAACTTTATACTTCAATAAAAATTAAAAAAAACTATATTTCAAGTACACAGAAATTTCAAGCCTATAATTAACGTCAATGATTTTAGAGATAGCCTTGTGAGGTTATTGAATCAAGAGTTGAAAATGTTCTGTAACCTATGAATTTCGCATGGATGTGCGTGTAGGTACGATTTTTTACTATGGAAGAAGTAAGGTTAGGGTTGGTTTTTACATTGTAGAAAATAACTTTTATTAATAGTGAAAAAGTAAGAAGCTTTTACAAAAACTACAATATATATACTATAATATGATGTAATGGTTACAATTAAATTTTTATAATTAAAACGTTAATATATAATATATTTTATCATCGAGAAACATACGTCGTATACTATAATACTTATATTTATGATTGTGAACTTACTCATATATATGTATAAATATAAATTCATGAATACTTTTCGTTAAGGCGTTGATCATAGAAAATCCTTACAATCGATGGGAATGAAAACAATTGCAGATTGATCAAAGATTGAATTTATTTCACGAGCTATTTAATTGTGAGTCGGAGACGTTTTCATCGGCCTTGTTTGTAATTTTTTGCTTCACGTTTTGATTTAATCTCATATGTATTATTACTAAAGTAAAACGTAAAGCATACAACTAAGCAATATGACTCAAAAATGAACAAAAGTCGATTAGACGCGAGGCCACTCGAAAAACAAGGCCTGCCTCTCATCAAACTCCGTAGACAACATCAAAACAAGAACACATGTAAGTAATATGGACGATCGCTCACCCTCGGCGCTTGTCTTCATTGCGTGTCTTCATAAAAAGTGAATAAACGTCGCGCTCGATCGGCAAAATTGATTTAAAAAAAAAAAAATGAACGATCGTCTTGTATGAACACATTTTTCGATCCCCCGGACGCCTCGCGTCCCCAGCTACTATCCATCCTTGGGCGCAAAGTACAAGTCTCGTATGAGCGTCGAGGTAACCATGGGCACCTGTTTGAGGTCGTGCAACCCAGGATCCAGATCGTTGTAGCTGGCAAAGTCCATGGCCACTTTACGAGCCGTCATCGTGAGCACGCGGCCGAGGTCCACCGTCGGCGAATACTCGTCCAGCATCTGGCAGAGGCTCTGAATGTACCAGGTACCCACGACTGGATTCCTCCAGGAATAAAAACCTGCCACGAGAAAATCGTGGATTTGAATACATATATATTATGAGTACTTTATTTTTTACTTACCTTCCACCGTCGAATTGGCGAAAAGGAAATCGGCGTGCGTCGGGATCTTGTAGGAGTCGATCGAGTCGGTCTCGCTCACTTTTGCACTGTGCATTCGAACGCCCTCGTCGAGACTGTCCCCACGGCAAGCCTACAAGTAAGGGTATACATTTACGCAAAATGACAAAAAATCTCCCCGATCAGTCGATGCTTTCCGATTCACTTTGGCATTTTACCTGCAGAAAAAACAGTTTCGGCTTTCCAGCCAAAGTGACGCATCTCTCGGCCGTGAAAGGCTTCCAGAGTCTCTCGATGTTGTACGCGGCGTCCTTGGCGCAGATGACGTTGTTCTTTAGCCCGTGGGTCAGCACGAATATACAGAGGCAGTCGCTATTGCTGTGGTCTTCCTGGCTCACTGCGTTATTTCAACGTAACCATTAAATGCGAATTTTTCAACCCCAAAAGGATCTCGAATCCAATCGACTTACATTCGTTGATTTTCTGCATGACGTCGGCGAACTCGTAGTCGTTGCAGATCTCGACAGCGAAGCCGAGCCTCTCGAACGTCTGTTCGATCCTGTGGGCGTCTATGCTGGAGCCCTCGCGCGTCTCGAAGCCCGTGTCGAATCTCTCGTGGTTGAAAATCACGCACTTGCCTCTCTGCCGGTGGCCCATGTTGTACCGATCGGCGTCTTTTGGAACCGGCATCTGTCCCGACACCACGGATGAACTGGAACATAATAGATCACCAGTAGAGCGATTTATACATACATTGGTACGAGGTTACCGATCTTGAAGTTGTGGGTCCAGTGATTTATATCAAAACGATGGTTTCCCAATCTCGAATCGTTGAAACGATAGCATCGGTTATTTGTTAGTAAAAATATATATATTTTTTCTCTTACAAGGGATATTGCCCGCCAAGCGTTCTGGGTCCTAAGGCATCGTGCAACTCGATTTTTTGGCTCGATCCGTCCGCGTAGCACATGCCGTGATGCGAACGCTCGGGAGTGGAGTAGCCCAGATCCGGTGAGACCTGCGCAACAACTTTATCGGTTATTTTACAGCTGAAATAAAGTTCTTTTTTTTTTTATTATTGTGCAAAAGGACAGATCAAAGGGAGTTTTTATTAAATACGAATGATCGTTTAATCCAAGCGTTGAAAACATAAAGAAAAAAAAAGCCACGCGAAGAAATCGGCATCATCTCTGCGCGCAAAGCATGGCGGCATCCACGTGTGTAGCCCGGGGGAGGGGGGGGGCCCAAAAGAGAGAGGAAAAGAGAGCGCGTCCGTAAAAAAGACCGGGTAGGGATATCCACGTGCGCCCACCATCGAGCCGGTGTTCCAATGAGCTGGCTGAGGAGGTCGTTGCGGAGTGCTGTAGCCGGTGGCGGGCGTTCCGGGGAAAATGCCCGGAGTAGTGGTGGTGGTGGCGGTCGGCGAGTAGAAGGGAGAGTCGAAGGAGAACCGCGGACTCCCCGACGAGTGGGACAGCGTGGGCGAGGATCCGTAACTCGACTCGCCTATGCTGTCTATCACGTCGCTCGTGCGGCGCGCGCGCTTTTCCGGGATTACCACGTTTTGAGCTGGCGTCGTTGGGAGGCACGCCTCGTCTTCGCTGCTGCCGCTGTCGTAAATCATCTGTAAGATCGAACGAATTGCATTTACATCATTTGGTTTTTTTTGTCACGCGCCTTTGTTTGCTAATTTTTCGGGGTATAGGTGTATACGCAACAAGTGTGGAATAGACGAGTGTGGGAGCTGCACACAAAATTTTCACAATAGTATATGCAGAAAACAGGTGTTTTTATACAAAATATTATGCACTGAGAGAAAAAAATAAAATAAAATTCATAGAGAAATTCGAGCAAATATTACCATTCCGCACAGTAAATCGGTTGCAAACTGGCAAAAAAGGAAAAAGTTATTATTTTTAACAGTAAAAATTATTGTTTTTTTAATTAAAATTATGGTTCGAAAAGTAAAAAATTACCATGCTGGAACAGTAAGCCTTATGAGGATCTGTTGATAAATTTTACTTTTCTTTATATAAATTTTTACTCTTCTAACTATGATTTTTATCTTTCGAACCATAATTTTAACCGTTACAAATAATAACTTTTCTTTTTTGCCAGCTTCCATCCGATTCACTGTGCAGAACGGTAATTTTTGCTGGAATTTCTCTATAGTTTTTATTATTTTTTTTTCTCAAAGTGTGAAAAATTGGTGTGCCTTCAGAAAACAATATAAAAAAAAAATTGGAAATCAAAAGCACAATCTTAATTGAATGGTTGCAACAACATTGGCGCGACTTTGACACTCAGAAATAACACAATCGATAGTCCGTGACGCGTAATCGTACAAGTCACGTGTATCTACTACTTGAAGAGAAAGAATAAAGTAAAACAGAGACACGTGAGTTCCACCACTTATCGCTGAAGTAGATAATACATATACACAACGTCGATGCTCGACTCCGATTTGTTGTGACGCATCAAAAAGCACGCTTTGATCGAGCACTTTGCGCTTGCGCAGTTTTATCTAAATGGATAAGTATATCACATACATACATTGATTATTGATTCTCGTTATCGAATACCAATAAAAGTTATCTCCTTTTGGATAGTTTGATCCGTCAACTGCATTGATCGGAGGTTTGTGATATTTAAAAACGAGAACTAACACCTGCCAAGTGATCTCGTTTGTGATGATTCTCTGTTTCCCGCGTTTTCGGCTCGCCACTCTGTTATCAAATTGCGATAGCCGTAATACATGTATATTTTAATTTCCTCAATCGAAAGAAATGTCTAGTTGTAGTTTTTTGGAAACAAAAACCAAATTTTTAACTTTTTCATTTAATCAAAAAGTTTTTTTTTAAATATGATTAAATAAGCACTTTGATAAATATTATTATGTATTTTTGGTATTTGATTGACAGTTTGAACTTCAGTTTGTTGACAATCACACGTAAACATTGATATTCCAGTCACATTGCCGAGTCGTTGCTCCAAAAGATTGTGTACAACAACTTATACATGCTCGCCAAAGGGTAAACAAACAGACGGCAAAATTGCAAGCTTGGACTCGAGACGGGGCACACAAAAAACGCGCACTTACCTGTGCTTGAAGTTCCGAGAGCTTGTGCACACTGACAGGGACGCGGTTGGTGCGCGCGCGCGTTCAAAAAAAAAAAAAGGGAGGTTTTCTCCGAAACTCCAAAACAATACACAACAAAGCAACAGTATCTCGCTGCCTGCAAGTAAACGTCAACACATCGCACGATAATTTTTTTTCTTGTCTATAGATCGTCACTGTCACTTCCTTCGCTATCGGATCGCAATTACGTGAGCATAATATAATATTTCCAGCAACGAGAGCAGAGAGACGATTCGACGCGTGTTGTCGAGCGCGCGATCGGCCTGCATTTGACCCAACGTGGAAAAAAAAAAAACAAAGAGAATCCCGAACACGAGCGCGCGCACGCGATAAACACCGGGAGCGTACTGGTGACGCTTTTGGGTTTTCCGAAGGGTCTCCCGCGCGCATCTGCGTCGTGTTTTCGACAACACACGGCCCCCCCCTTATTTTTTTCTCCTCTCCCACTTGGTGAACTCCCGACCTGACACAAAGGAAAATAGGTGCCCTTTCACCACGCCACAGTCCGCTCTCAATTTGATTCCGATCGTCAAAACAACACGCTGTCTCTTTTTTTCTTTGCACCCTTAAATAGGGCGGGCTGTTGTTGATGCCGATGCTCTCTCTGCTTGAGGGGAAAATCTGGGGAATAACGGTGGAGTAACGTCCTTAGCCCGGTGGGCTCGCTATTTTTTTTCTTTTTTCTTTCTCTCTCTCTCTCTTTTTTTTTTTTTTTTTCTTTGTTGTGGGAATGTTACGAAAACTGAGGATTTACATCAATGAAGTTTAAAGTTCGATGAATATCGTGTTCATTTAGGGTATTTAATATTTTTGACATGAATGGAGAATCAAAACAAACCGACGGGAACAGGTAGAATTTCCCCTTCTCGTTGGGTTTTCCCGATACTTTTTTTCTTCTTTTTTTTCTCTCTCTCTCTTCTTTTCTATTTCTTTTGTGAATGTCCCAAAACGTTTTTTATTCTCTTCACGACGAGAAATCGTTTGTACATATTTTATCTACATCTCATTCAAACAAAACGAAAGTATATGAATGATCCTTTGTTTCATATCTACATAATTAATTACTTTCTGTATATTATTTAGCCATCAGCAAAAAAATAAGGGAGGCCTTGGTTATAGCTACGCTGTGCAATCATTTAATATAAGGGTGGGGCGAACAATGTTTCTCAGCACTGATGCACTGACAACTCTACTGACAGCAAGTCACGTGGTATTTTCCACGCGCGTGAATACAAGTATGTAGGGCTAAAGTGATTTTTTCGGAACACGATTTTTCTTAGATATCATTTAATGAAAATAAGTGATTCACATGTATCTAAATGAATCTAAACTGGTACACGAAAAATGTACCCGTATGCAATAAAGCTCAAACAAATTTAATTTTATTAAATTAATTTAGATTGTATAAACGTGACAAACTAGTTGACAATATTAATAATAGATAGATCTTTCAATATTATTTAAAGGGAAGATCGATCATTGTGTCTGCACATATCATGTCAACAAGGTGAGGGGTGGTAATAAAAGTTTAGACGTTGCGTGACCTACTTATATACATTCCGTAACGTAATCTGACATAGATCGACAACATGTGCTAAACGTAATTTTATCTGCTAAGTTTATTTTTTATGTTTGTAAGATCCACCAAGTTGTGGTACTCAATCATTCATCACATTTCAGCTAAATATAAAAATTTTCTGGCCTATGCCTCAACAATAAGTACCAAGTCATCATGTACTATTCATGTACCGAGTTTGTACGATAGAAGCCTACTACTAATAGAAATTGCATCCAACATCATCTCAGTGCTCGGCGACACAGTACAAGTAAAAGCGTGTGGGTAACTCTAGCGAGCGAACCGCGACTATTCTCCCCCTTTTCGTTGTAGTAGTAGTGTAATAGCAGTGTTCGCTCTCTCTCTCGCTCTATGTGTCGCTCTTTCTCCCCGCGTAACCACCGCCACCATTCACTTCTCGGCCGAGCACGCACACGCCTCTTTCTCTTGTGTTGCGTCGTTCGTTTCTTCCTTCGTCGACACGAACCCATGGCTTCCACAGACTTTCCGACGCGAACGAGCCAAACAACCACTTGAAGCTATGAATGTGTCATTGAACTTTTTTCATTCAACAACTTACCTTTCTTCAGCTTCGACTGTTCGATTAGCGGAATCCAGTGAAAAAAATACTCTCGAAGCAAACGAGTCATCCAAAGTTGGGCCCAAAGACCTCAAAAGCCAACAAAAATCATGGGTATGTCCTTTAACCAAATCAACGTTAAAGTCTTTCAAAGTACAAAGTACGTGTGCATGTATACCGTCTTTATTTTTATCATTGTATAATAAATTCATATATGTATTTACACAACATTCGCCGGATGTGGATCCGACAGTAGGTTAAAAAAAATGGGTACGCGTATAAAATAACAAATCAATTGTCCCTTCAACCATCGGTCTATGCAGGCACGAGGAACATCCGAGCTTTGACTGGCGATTTTACATTCCTTCCCACGGACAAAGAAACTTGAAAACCCATTGGCTCAGTCGCTGTCGTCGGCATTGCGAGGTGGCCGGGTCAGGGGTCGCCGACTGTCCTCATCCGAGCCGTAGATCACATCCTCGTCCGAGTCGTTGATCATCGAGAAGGACGGATTGTCCTTCGTTATCGAAGAATCTGCGCGGGTGGAGCAAAAAACCATGAGGAAAAAATGTACCTCCCAAATCCATGCGCCTCGAGCCAAACTTACGTTGTCCGTAGACTTGCTGAGCTCCGGGAGCGTAGACGTAGGTCATCGTGTACAGGTAAAAGTTGAGGAGACCGTAGAGGGCCATGAACTGCGCCGAGGTCTTGTAGTGCGTCGACAGACGCGAGACGAAGCTGTCCTCCAGTACACCAGCCCCGAACTGCCTCGCCGTTATCAGCGCCGACGTCCCGATGACTATCGCCACGAACAGCGTCATGAATCTCAAGCGTTGATCTGAAAAAGCAGAACAACAACGGCCATTCACATAAAAGCTGACAAATATTTTCCAAGACTAATTTCGCGGGTGTGGGAGATGATTTTTGATTAATTGAGAAGAAAAGGGCACGCGGGTGTATACAGTCCGCCTCCCATTGGAAGCAGAGCCAATGGGCTGTTGGAAAATTGAGTGATAAAAGGGCACCTGTTCCAGAGACACGGTCACTGCGCTCATGAGTCTTTGCATACATACAGCCAACAAGAAAAATGTATAGACCGACTGCTTGGGACTCAGAACTAGTGTGTGAGTGTGTTGAACGGGGGGAGGGGCTAGCGGTTCCCCTCCTACGTCTCCTCGTCCACCGTTCGCTTGGCGTTGTTGGTCGTTTTGCAATGGGTCGAGTCTGGCGTTCTCGTAAAAATGGTAGCCCGCTTGGTTGTCGAGAATCGGTTTGGTTTTCGTGCACAATCACTACATTGTATAAAATTTACTTGAATCACATTCTTGAAAGGTCCGTCAATTCTGTGTGGTTTACAAATATTCCGTTGTGGACATTAATGGGAACGCGCGGTTTGGTAGAATTTTACTTTTTCACGCAAGACTGTAACGAGAGTCGCGAGGATTCTTTTTTTCTGCAATACACTACTAAAAGACATTGCTTGAAATTGAGATTTTTACGGGTATAAGAAAAATGTAGAAGCATCAGAGAAACGATACTTTTGACTCTGCGCCGAAAATTTGGCAACGTTGAAAACGTCGAAACTGAAGCGAAATTGTTCGCACGAGGGGAGAAAGGAACCGGTTTTACGTTGGAATCGAGCTTCCTTCTTTTTTTTTTTTTTTCTCTGGCCCAACTCTAGTCCCGCCTGCGCCTTCCTCGAGACAAAAAACGAAATATTCAAAAGCACGGGCTAATACTTATGGTCTTCTCGTTGCTATGGACGCCTCCACTCTCAAATCAAACCACACTGCGCTCCGTTTCCCTTTTATTTCTGTGTACGGAATATTGTTCAAACAATGGTAAAAAGGCTTACCGAAATAAGGCATGGATCGCAACTCACTGTAAGCTCGAACCATGAGTAACAGCAGGTATACTAGATAAATCCCTCCAACGGTGAAGTAAAAAACTTTGAACCCCTAAAAACAAAATATGGTATATACATATGCTTGTGAATGTAAGATCATTGTCAGTCTCTAGAATATCGTTTCTCGTGCTTACGTAGTAGTTAGACGTATCGACAACGTAGTTGTAGGTAGGGTCTTCCATTTCCGACCATCTCAACCAAGTGGCCAATAGTAGAGTCGCTCCCCACAACGACCCGACCACCAGCAGTTTCGGCAAGTAAAACGTTATCATCTTCCATTTATTCTGTCGATGAAACATTGCAACCGCATATTTTTTACTTGCATCAGAGGACTATAAACCAATTGCTAAATAATTTCGAGCTACTGTACCTGTCTCAATCCGTGATACACGCACAGCCAGAACATCAAAATAGCGCACAAAAAGGTCGTCTGCAGAAAAGCGTCGATCATCCCGGGCAACGAGGAATTCACGAGGAATATCGTGGGAAACAGGGGATCTAATCGAGTAAATTTGCATTTTTTTAACTGCACAGTTTTACCACGAGATGAACTAACAAATTATATATTTTCCTCTTACTATTGTATAATATCAACAGAGGCAACAAAACCGATATCCATTTTTGCTCTATGGACCAGTCTTGTATCGGATACTTCCTCAAAGCATTTCCGAACCAACACTGCAACAAAAAGAGACATTTGTTACTTTACATTATTTTATCTATGTTTCGAACCAATAGATATACATGTATATTAACAATTATTCACCGTCGCTACAAACGTTATTATCAAAAAGATCAATCTGAACCACACTTCGATTTGCGTGAAGGCCGGATTATAGTGTTTGAACTGTATTGAACAAAAAAAAGACGTACATCGTTTTTAAATAGTCAATTAAAATTTTGAGTGTTGATTATTATTATCATCATGCCCCTTTTTTTCATCAGTGCTTACTGACGTAGAACGTGAGATCTCGAATGGTGTAGCGCTGGTGGAAGCTCTCGAGTCCATAGAAACGGACCGTGATTACGTAGTGGCTGTACTCGAGAAATCCGAGATGCGCTACGACGATTTCCTCGCAGGACTGACGCTCGCATTTCAAATGCCTCGTTCTTTGGTCCAGCGAAAAACAAAACACAATTTGATTGTTTTAAAAGCTTTTCAACAACGTTTGGGGCAGAAATATGTTATTTCTGGGCGAATTACCGGTTGTGGTCGCCATCTGGCGTTAGGAGGTGCTCGATCTTTTTGTCCACTGTAATACCATCTATCGATACGCTCACTTGGAAACTCTTGTCGTACCTTTCATCTAGAAAATGAAACGATTGTTTAAAACATTTTCCAACTGTCCACATGAATATTATTACAAATTGGAAATGTAAGTACACATTCATATACATTATACGCAAAGCTTGTAATTTATGTGTAAAAATGTACTTATTCGTGTCATTCTTATTATTATTCCTTTTTTTTTTTTTGTTCATTATACATGTGAGTATTTCCAAAGAATGACAAATGTTGTGTACCGTCATTATTAGCCGTGGACAACTTTGCAATCACCCACAGCTGTTGGTTGTAAGTAGATAAAGGTGGGGTGTGCATGATGAACGGTCCCGTCGCCTTTTCGCTCGCATTGACGTGTGCTCTTTGCTCTGTCATGGATGTTATCGGAGGTCCTACAACCATAACAAATAATAATCGTTAAATTTTTTTCAAAGTACAGACAGTTGATTTCGACAAAAAGCAGTGTTTAATTGTATTTACCGGCGAGTCCAATGAACACCGCTAAGCCGAAACAGGCGAAAAACGAAACTAGCACCATTACGAATTCCCGTTTGTGCATCGAGTACAATCGCATATTTACAGACCTGCAATTCCATGAACCAGTTAGAACCGCTTATAAGACCAAATTTTATAAAACAGGAACTCGAAGCTTTTTTTTTTTTTTCCAGTAAAAAATATGAAGCAAATGCTAGGTGGTACCTTTCGCAACGATCGTGATGGTAAGCGGGTGCGATGTATTTGTTGAATTCGCTGAAAACGTCGCTGCACTGTGACAGAGCATTGCGTAGTTTAAAGTTCCAGCCGCTCGTGCGCCCCGAGGGCAATTGGTAAGAGTAGCCCAAATTGAGCCCGTCCATTTTACTCGACATCCTGGTAGCCCCGCTTGGACCTGCAAATGGGCCCAAAACAGTAACGACGGGGACGACGTGGAAGCATTTTTTACGGCAACGGCAAAAGGGTAAAAAAACAGATACAATAGTATCTTTAACGTGGTAGTATCAAATGTGGGGGTTAAGGGAGGTGGGGGGAAAAAAAAGGTTAGGGTGGTTGTTTATGTTTCGCTGGCAGGGGGTGCGGGGGCCGATGTGAAGTTGTCGATGGAACGAAGAGATCTATTTGTCAAAGTACAGTTTGGATTATTGTTGGAGAGTCTTTTTTTTTTCAACTATTTAATGGTACGTATCGATTGGATGGGTATAGTAATTCGTTCTACCCATTGAAGTAGGTCAAACCTTTTTTTGAAACCCAACTCTAAACAATTCGGCAAGTTATTAGAAAAAAATATTTTTCAATAAACTTCTACAGCCATTTTTTTAACACCAGAATGTAATTAGTCAACGAATGAAATGTGTACAGATATCGAGGAAAAACATGTTACGTTTTCCGAAAAGCAACTAATATACCGTTGTAATAGTGTTCGATCGCAGCAAGAAGCCTAAGCCACCTGTCACTCACCAAAGCCCGTTTCCAAGCCGTGTCAGTACACCTATTTCCACTTCACGAGCTCAGCACTCCACTGCATCCCCCTCGCCCACTCGACACATGTTTCGTCGCAACCGCGAAGCCTTGAAAAAATCAAAAAAACGCAAGGAAACGTCAAACACTCCGACACCAGCAACTTCGGCGAACCGGAAAGCAACGGGGAGCTGAACTATGACACACAGCTTGCGGCGTGTGGCGTGGCCCAAAACATCGCGACGCAGCCGATGACAACGACGGCGAGCTTGCTTTACCACCCCAACAGTAAACTTTTAACAGCGGCTGCGCGTCGGGCAGTTTTATCGATTATTTCCCCAACGCGTGCGACGTACGGTATTATATACTATGTGCAAAAGTGTAAGTACGTATGAAAGTGGATGCAGGTGAGGTATACGGAGGCACCCATCTTGGATGCAGTGTGGCAGGTATAACATGTAGATCATCTATTTAGTATCAAATCATTAGTAAGAAGAGAAATTATCCGCTTATCCTTCCTCAAAAATTTAAGGAGGATCATTAGGGTACTTTGATTGAAAACTGAAAATATGACATGTAGTCACTGGTGTTTAAAAATTAAAGATAAATTTTACTTACGAAGCGGAAGAAATTAAGCATCACTTGTGTTTGTAATTCGGTATACGTACATTTATTTAATACGTTACAATAATAAAAATACAATTGTATATAAAAAAGGCACTGTTTATACTTATTGCACAGACAGAGTGTACCAAAATACTCGAAAAAGTTACTGAAAAAAAAAAAAAAGGCATGGACCATATGTTAAAAGCTAATGTCGTTTCATCAAATTATAAAAAAAAAAAAGTTACACTTGCACTTACGAATCACAACTAATCCGAGCAACATATTTGACACAACGACGATGAAAATTCGCTCATCGATTAGTTCGCAATTCATTGTTGCTCCTTCTCATTTTTGTTCGATAATAAAACATGTACAAAAATACAAATCATCGGATAAAAAAGCTACCATACGACGATAAACTACAGTAAATAACGCACTTGTTTATAAAGGCACATTATTTTTTTTTCTCATATATATACATAAACTAAAAAAAAAAAAAAAAAAAACATTCATCCTCCAACTTGATCAAATTTATGTTTTCCACTATATTATATCTAATGATGAGAAAAAATAAAACTCGTGCACAACAACCGTGTATACGCACGTATAATGTCTATATTATATATATATATATATAATGTGTGAGTGACTCGAGTATATAAATATATTTTGTGTGTTTCACAAGGGAGCGTGAATACATCGCTATATGAAAAAAAAAAAAAAATTAATAATAATTCGTGCGGCTCAGGGGCTCAGTCAGTCCTCGGCAGTTTTGTCATTGGCCCCGACGTTAGCCGGCGCGTAAAAATTGAATTCGCAGCGCTGGTGTGCCGGCGGTACGGGCAACTTCTTCAGCGTGACACCAAAGTTTCGCGCTATGTCTTCGGATGCTGCCACTTGGACGTTTACGTAATCCGGCCTGTTGTCAGTGACTGCCGCCTCGTGATTGGTATTCGGGACCTTCGGGCTCTCCGTCTTTGGCATTTTGTTCGCGTCATTTTCGTTCGACAACTCGTCGTCCTTCTCGTCCGGCGTTTCCACGAATTTTTTCGCTCTGCTCGGCTCTGGATGGATCTCCGGTTGGATGGTAAGGACGTTGCCGTTTTCGTTGGTAGGCTTATTATTGCTGGTACTATTCAATGGCTCTCGCGTGATGTTCATGTGCTGAAAGGGTATGCACATGCCAGGTGGTGGCGTCATGATTGGCAGCACATTTGCGTAGTTGTTGTTGAGGTAGACCTTGCTACTGTTGGCTACTGTCAGTGACTGCTCGGTATTGGCACCGGCACCTGGAAAATCGGTTGGGGTCATTGGTGTCTTGACCTCCTTGGCGCTGCTGGAAGTGTTGGGCTTGAAAGCTGTAATCAGTGAACATTAGTTTTTTTTCATCATGAACCAGTAGCCGCAGTACCATACAATTAAATTCAGAATGTGAGATTAATTCAGATAAAAGACTCACTGTGAATGGGCAGACCCGATGGGGGAAATGCGATGTAGTAATCCTTGTCGTCGACCGTGGACTGCGAAGACTTGACCGGTCGCAAGTCCAACTCGTTGTTACTAGCGCTCGGACGACCGGACGTTGATGGTAAAACTCGTCCAGCAGATTGTGGTTGGTACAGTCTTCCGTTAAAAGGTTTAGGAGCAGGTGGGATCTCGTAGCTTGTGATTCCCACCGACTTTTCCTCCGGTATGACATGCTGCAATGATTTGACGTTAAATAATTAATCAAAATCTGTATACGAAACAAGATTAATGAACGCTAAACCTACTCTTCGGTCATCGGTGTCGGAATGCGTGCCACTGTCACCAAGACTGGCGCCACTGCAGCCGCTTACGGTGCTCATTCGACCGGACGACGAAGAGCCTAAAACAGTGGGAAATCGTTGTTGTCATCAAGTGTTGTCGAGAAATCGATGAAAAAGTTTGAGAACAAAAACTAACTCGAGACACTGTGGAGACTAAGGCTGCTGACGGGGCGCCGATCGGCCAGATTGGCATTGACGTTGTTCTGCTTGTTCTGTGCCGTATCATCGTTCGTCCCCCCAGAATCTTTCGCATCTGCAAAACCAAAATCACACCACGTACAATCGTCCAGCCCCAAAACCCGAACAAACAGAGGAGCCAAATATCTCATCGCCACCACCTACCCTTTTTTCCCTTGGTGAAGAACTTTTTGATCCTGTCGAAGGGCGTGGGCGCCTTCATTTCGTCCTTCATCCTCTTTTGTATCCTCTCGTACTCGTCCCTCATGGCCGAGAGCTGGCGCTGCTTATCCTTGAAACTCTGTTGGACATCGTTGCGGTTCCTCCAATTCTCAACGAGTCTCTCGACCTCCGAGATGGTGAACACGTTGTTCTTGAAGTCGGTGATGATCTCGAGCAGCTCGTCCTGCGGCTCGCTCTCCCGAGTCTTGCTGGACCTCCCGCTCTGGCTTGACTTTGTGCTGAGCTGGTCGCTCCTTTCTGGATCTGGGTTTTTGAGATCGGCCGGTGAAGCCTCGGGACTCTGGTTGAGCGATTGGGATGAAGCGAGAGCTGTCGGCGTCGAGTCGGGCGATCGCAGACCTGCCGGTAATGACATTTTAGACAAAGTTTTTACGCGGACCATCAAAATTCAGCGGCAAACGACGGACCTTCGTGATTAATCTGCAAGTAGCCGTGCAATGGCAGGTCCATGCTGGAAGCGTTGAGCGTCGAAGTGGACGCGAAGGCTCCCAGTGGCATGGGGGTCGGTGTCGCCGAGTCACTGGCTTCCGAAGCGGTCGAGGAGGCGACTGTTGGATTCGGAAGCGGTAGAGGAGGCGGCGTCGAATAATCAGGGAAGGTGTGAACAGTCGCCATCACTGGTCGTGCCACCGGCGGCACCGAGTAAGCCTCGCTCAGAGGCCGCGGAAGACAATAGTCCTCCTGATGTCGGTTTGCGACATCCTCCTCGGCCGTCGGTGGTTCCCGTTGTCGCTCGGACACCTCGTGGGCAAGCAGACGATAGCCTGATGCAAAACATCCGTGGGTTTGTTTACGAATGAAAATATCGTCTCGTGGGCGAAAAAAAAAAAAAAAAAAAATGGCCACGCGTATACGTATGATCTCGCATGTATATATATACAATGGAGGAAAAAAAAGAAGAAGATAGAAATGGGTCTTCTCACGTACGTACCATTAGCACTGCCAGTTGTGTTCTCGCTCATCACCTTCAAGTAGCTGTACATATTCGAGAATTCGTTCATTTGCTGTGACCGCAAAACATTTCAAGTGTCAAATCCAAACACAATTAATTACTCAGTATGATATTATGTATAGGTCGGGGGGCAACACAGGTGAAACAATTAATTGTCATCGTAATATAGACAGGTGTGCGATCTCACCATGTAACCGCGAAGCTGATGAGCCAATTTAAGGTGCCCAGCCTGCTCGGCTAGATCGGCGGGCGTCAAATCGTTGACGTTCCTCATGTCGCAAGCTATGTCGCCGCCTGGGCACTCGAGCAACTGCCAGGCCAGCTTCTCCAGACCAAAGCGCGCCGCGAAGTGCAGAAGCGTGGGGTTCTCCTCCGAGCCTACCCAGTTCAAAGATAGTTAATATAAACTTGGATCTACGAGCGGCTATCCTCGGGTGCATGGGAGACACTTACTCGAGTGGTTTTTAGAGAGCTGAAGGTCACCAGGTGGGGTCGACAGCAAATTAAAGTACGGCGGTATGTTCTTCTGGAAGGCGTGAACCATCCAGTTGTCCAGCTGATCCTTGTCACCGGGATGAAAGCCAAACGTCTGGACATGGCGAAAAATCGAATGTAAACACCGCCGAGATCTCAAAAGTACGTACCTCTTTGTTATTTACCTGACACATGAACTCGAGCGGGTTGTCATAAGCTCGCAGTATCTGATCCAGCTCCCTGAGGCGACTCTCGCACTTGACCTGTCTGACGCCCAGGGGCGTGCCGTTTCGCAGTATCCTCACCCCGACGAGCATCGACACGTCGAGGCAGCTTTCGGGCACGGCGAACTGCAACGTGTACGGGTTGCGTCGTTTCACGTGGCTGATTTCGAGGGCATCGCCGCAACGGTCCACGATCACGGTCACTGTGTCCTCGGGCTGCAGTGGGTCGTTCAACAAGGCGAGTATCCGGTTGTGGCCCTGCTCGAAGGAATGACCGATCCAACTTACGCCCGTCCAAAACCTTCGACTCGTGTAAAACGACCCGTACTTACCGTTTTCACCTTCTTCGGGTGCACCGAGAACCCGGTTTTGTCGATCTTGAGATTATTGGCGCTCGCGTTGCCGAGTATGGTGACGGCCGCTCCCAACAGGTGGCCGACGAAAGTCTCGTCCTGGTCCTTGACGAAGAACTTGCGCCAGCTCGGATACGTGACGAGGCTCGCCTTCTGGCTGGCGCTCAAGTGGCTGTCCTGGACTCCGAGCATCATCGCGAGGACCCGGTCGGTGTTGAGCAGCCGCGTGACCGACGTTGCGTGCTCCGGGCGCTCGACCACGCGCTCCAGGAATATCGGGCACACCACGACTATCTGCAGCCGCGAGTTGCGAACGCGCACGTCCGCGCCCGGGCCAAGCTGCTCCTCGAACGTCAACTGCAGCACTCTGTGGGATCGTGATTGTATCGGTACTCTCGGGTTGTTTGGAAGTAAAAAGAAGATGAGCCAAGCTCTCCAATTGGGGGAAAAGGAGGCCGAGCGCAATCGGAGATCTCAATTATTTATCTCGCCAGCCAATCAACTCGGGAACTTGTGGGCATTAAATGGATGATAGAGGAGATGGGGGAAAAAAGGCACAAACCTAAAGGGCGGCTTGCCCTGCTGTCGGCTGATCTGCTCGAAGCACGCGGTCAAGTAGTTCACCCAGAGGGTCGAGGCTCCGTTGTCGCGGCTCGAGATGAAAACTACGTCGTCCCGTATGGCCGTGCTGCTTGTCTCTGGCGGCTTTGCGATGAACGTCGTGGTTGCGTGACGCGTGCCTGTGGGGCAAAATTAACCATGATTGTAACGAACGACATGGGTCGTTTTTTGCTTCGCTGTGGGGATAATTGTGCGCTGGGATGAAAGTTCTTTTGCTGCGAAAGATTCATGTGTTGGAAGCCGTGTCGTGTGCATTGTGAATTTTGGACAAGTGTTCCTATACCTGGAATTGAAAATTTTTGCGAGCTCATGTTTTATCACGCAATACTTTTGTAGTGTAGAGCTTTCTCTCGTGGTAAGTAACTGCGAATAATTCAACAACTGAGCGAATGCCATTTGTTGGAAAGCTATAGTCTTTTTGCCATTTATTTTCAGGGCAGATTAATCTACTGAAAATTCCACTCCATACTGAAAAAACGTCCATCTCATATACCCTTATAGCTACTACAAAAGTTATACTCATCCCCGTATACTCCGCGGAGGTAAACAGAGCCTCTATCAACCCGGTCAACACCTCCCAGCGTATATACACTTAAGAAACAAGCCGCACCCACGTAATATAAACACGTAAGCTTATATATACCTGGTAATGTAGGACAAACAAAAAAAAAAAAAAAAAAAAAAACAAATCGGATGACGATTTCGGACCTAAATGCAATTGTTAACCATTGTCCCCTTCGAGTGCAGTACAATCGATTTCAATGGCCACGATAATGGAGGCTCGTGCTTTTTTTTTTTTTTTCGTCTCTCCCCCTCAACGCTCAGGAAGCTTAACGCGCTTTTTCCCTACTCCATCTGTTGCGCTCCCGTGTGTAAGTGTGCTACGGCACTTGTGTGAAGACCATAGAGCAGTGGGTTAAAAGCTCTATTATTGCAGCCGGGGCTGCGCAGTACGGGAGAGTCGAGATAGCGTATCTTCGGGTCTCGACTGTAAACCGCGTACGTGAGACTTCAAGTCCATAAAACGCCTGACAAAGGCAGGAAGCGGGATTTAAGGGGACGGCAACGTGTTACACATGCACTGCGTCACTCAAACAACAATTTCATTCTCTACACATTATTAATACCTCTATGCTGAGATAAAAAGACTCGTACATATATTGTTCACTTATATCATGGGTCAAAGCAATATATGGATATTACAGGATATCCAGGTGCACTTTCGCATCACGTTGGCGGTTGTTACTCCCGCGCGAGGCCAATAAATTTCGCCGAGTGTACAGTGAGACACCTTCGTTAAAAATTCCCTTTTTTTTCGCCTCGCGTCTCCTATAAATACATCGGATGAAGTATAGGTGCCCACCGTGTACACCGAGCAGTATATTTTATCAGGCGGTGCGCTCCTCCTCCTACCGCCAACAACATCATCATCATCATCATCGTTTTACCGAATACACGCGACGCGACACGCGCGTATCGCGTAACCCATTTCTTTTCCTCCTCTCTATATACACATACACGCGTTTAACACCACACCCACCCCAGCCGTGAGTAAGTTAAGGCCCGTAACTCAATCCCTGGGAGTTGAAAAAGGAAGGTGGAGGGAGAAAAATTAGATCTCTCTTTATTTTCGTATACGGACGGACGTGGCGCGGTAATTTCCAGCGTAAACCGAATTCCGATGGGCCTCTCCCCCCAACTTTTATTTACTTCCCCCCCCCCTTTTTTTACGAGCTTTTTCGAAACACTGTACAGCCTTTTGGCTCGTGAGTTAGGTACGCAACTCGGAGGCTTCTTATTTACACTGCAGTAAAAATACACATAAAAAGTCCCCAAAAGCAGTTTACGACGAGTGTACGTATGTGCGTGTACGTATATAAGATCGTACATCGAATTAATTAGGCTAATTCAAAACGTGTGCTCGCGTTTGTTGTGCCGTCCATTACTCTTGATTAACCATTAACGTGCGTGTTTGCGTGCCAATCGCTTTGGAGAGCGATGATGAATCAAGCGATTGTACGTATAGGTACTAGACTAGACAACCGTGACCCAGTAAAACCACGCGATTCCCTCGGGGGGGTCTATTTTTTAGTTTACATTCGCGTGGGCTGTGCATTTTTGGAAACAGCTGGAAATTTGTTTTATCCCCTTCTGGCGTGCGTTTGTTTTTTCTGCCGGATACAAAAAGGAGAGCGTGTTATCATCATCTCTGGCGAGTCTCCGCAACTTTCTATTGCAGGGGGGGAGAGAACGACTCCCGTTTCCCTGCCGCTGTACGTTTATTTGGCTCTATCTTTCGGGTGTGCGTTTGTATCTGTCCGCGGGGGTGAGGGGGGTGAGGTGTATCCGGTTTTTTTAGTGAGTACAAGATGTACCCATGTACGCGGAATCTTGTATAAGTATAAGTATATATTTTGAGGTGGGTGTACGGGGACATTTTTCACTCGTTTGATTGCTCGCGTAGTGATTGAATTTCATTCTATACCAAGTATCAAAACAGATGAGACATGAGCTAAAAAATCCAGAAAATCCATCCCCCAGAGTACAGTTATGGATCCTTGACGTCCTTGAAATTAACGTCCCTACTGCTCAATTGAATGACAATTACAATTTATTCGTTTTCATGGTGATATAATTTTCTTAACCAAAAAATATACACCCAACGATCCATACAACATCAGAGTCACCCGCGAAATCTCATTTCTCCGAACAGCGAAAAACCCCCTGGGCTCGGGTCCATTACTCATAAGTCTTTCAACAACACAATGCACCCCCGCAACCGCGTTCCCGTCAATTTCCCCCGAGTCCGAGAATAAATCCCCATTAATTCCCGCCCGGAAAGTCGCCTCGATGCGAAATACTGAGTTATTAAAAGGCTATTAATAAAGCACACTCGCACTCACAAGCCGACGTCGCATTCCGCGGCGCGGCAACCGCGAAAACATTTTGCTGCGCCACCGGCGCTGCTATACTTCGTTGGAGCTTGCTTTATTGCACGTAGCCGAGCAGCATCGCCATAGTTAGTAATGTAATGTACGTGCGTCGAAACCTTTTCGTGCACCACAATTAATGGGCTTGAAAAAAAAAAATGAACGAAAAAATGTATACACTGGTTGAAGCCAATGCTATAGGGGCAACGTGACGTTACAATATTTACACGATTAGGATCCAGGGATAAGTGTTATGTCCTGACATGGCCCGACTTTCTGGTTGGAGAGGTTTAAGAGCTTCGGGCTAGAGGCATACCGGGAGTTCTTCTACTCGAGTATGGTTACCTTTTTATTTGAAGCTGTACTCGCAAGTGGTGTGCTGAAGAAGCTCTTTTTAGGTTGATCACCGGGTCGTAATAATGTCAAAATGAGCTCGTATAACTTGGAATTTGAAAGTCGAAAAAATAAACGTGGTAACTTACCTATACCGACAAAAAGAGTGTATCTTTGGTACCCTGCTATGTAGGAAACGACCCTGCGTATGGACGTTTGCATTTTCCGGAATTCACTTATGTCCAAATTAATCGATAATCATCCGAAGCGTGTAGTTTCGTTCCAAAGATTTGTTTTCTATTATTACAAGGTACCAGGAAGAATTTCTCAAAATGTAATCAAAATTTTTTTTTCCTCGTCACCTATGTGACTATGAACATCCACAAAAATTGTTACGCATATCTGTGACCTCCATCCGTAATATGGTAATGATTATAGTTACTCCTAAAGTACATAAAAGCTAAATGACGTTTGCATTATGCTTTTATCTCTACTAAAACTGCGCCTCAAAATAACAGCTCACACGTGTGGCTGAACGACCACCACAAATCCATGGAGATCCAAATCTCAACAAATACATTAGTCCTATGGGATCGATCACCTCTTAAAATCAATGACACGCTCGATCGATCACTCATACACTAATAGCTCCCCATACCTGCACAGGAGGTCCTACAGAGGGTGTCAATCACGTGACTGCTCCTCACGGAGTTCATACCACCATTATAGACTCATTCCGTTTTTTTTTTTTTTTTTTTTTTTTTTTTAGACCCGTAGGTATACAATGTACGCGTATGCGCGTAACGCGCGCAAACTTGTGCTTATGATAATGTATACGCGTGCCTTCCCATTTCGGTACCGAGTTTCCGGCCTTCCTATATACCTCCTCCCTCCGTCACCTTTTCGATAATGATGCTTGCGCGCACGTAATGTCTCTCTCTCTCTCTCTCTCTGTCGCTCTGTACGCACATGTGTGTATAAACGTATACAAGAGTGGATAAAAGGGTATATAGTGTGTGTACGTGTCGTGGCCTCGTAGTGTCTTTGAATGATGCGCGCGTCCTGCCGGGAGGAACTTTTCTTCGCCAACCACCTATATCCGTACTCACAATATTCATCAGCGGAAAAGTTTTTTTTTCTCTCTCTCTCTTTCGGTCTTTTGGATTATGGGCTGTCTCCGTTGCTATTAAGAGCTTACGTCAATTTTTTTTTTCAGTGATGCTCTTCTCTTGTGATAATTGTCTGCCACGCCTGAGAGCGTTTTTTTTTACTCTCTAGACTTTTCGATTATTTTTTTTTAAATAGCTTTTTATCAACTAACACTCGGGTGGTTGGATAAAAAAATAGAGGGCTAAATGAAGCAGCTAAATCGGAGATTACTTTATTTTTTGCCAAATTTTTCAGTGGGTTACTTGGTGTAATCGTAAGAGCAATTATAATGTTTCAAATAAAATAGCAGTATCGGTATACATTAAAAAAAATTTGAGTAGAAAAAAATTCCTCGAATTAATTTCTTCTTGAGCCGAAACCTGAATCAGCTGTTTCATTTACCCAGTCGTCAAGTTGTAATTGTTACATTATTAATTGAAAAATTAATTAAACATTTTATTCGTATGGAAAGTTTTTACCCCATTCCCTACAATTAAATTATTTGTAACGTTACAGTAAAAATGAAACCAGCTTTCCTTTAGTTAATCATTAATAATGTACATATGTTATAAAACTTACGCGGACAGTTTCCGGACAAGTCTAAAAAATCGGGCCTTTTTGTCGCCTCCACGTCCTTGATTGCCAAAACGGTATCGTTATCCTCGGCCATTTCGAGTAACTATACCTACTGTTCACTCACAAAATAA